TACTTGAGATTTTTAAAAAAATGTGCAATATTATTAAAAATAACTAATTTTTCAATGATCAGTTTTTAGCCAAATATCACAGCTTCTTTTTTAGATTTATAAAATAGACAGCAGTATATCTTAAATAATTTCCATTACAAAAATGGATGAAAGCATTTTTCATAAAAGATTTAGTCATCACTTTAATGATAAACTAATAATTTACACTTCTTCATATAAGAAAAAAATGACCAATTTTTCTGTCACTGCATATTTTCAAAATGCTTTTATAGAAATTTTAGCAGCATTATATTGCTTGTGAAAATTACAGATAATGAGTATAAAAGTTGTTTAAGTATATTTTTATAAAAGATAATTTGGTAAAATTAGTCTGATTTGAATAAATGTTACTTTAAAAAAAGCCCAAATCTAATTTTTACAGATGCAAAGAAAAGGACAGCTGATTTTTCCATTTTCTGTTTTCCTTTTTAGGTTTACCAAGTGCTTTATTTCTGAACATTAATTTTAATTCTTTTCTTTCATTCCCCTAAATTTGTTCATGGTGATGTGTTAAAGTTTTGGTGAATATTTTCATGATTTTTAAAATGCTGTGTCAAATTGTTTAGTATTTACCACTTACACCAATGTCAAAAAGAGAAAATACTACACAGTTCAGGTCACCATAGACAATGGCTAGGCTGAGACTTGGCATTTCCATGCAAGAAACATTCAATGAATGAACATTTAGTGTTACTTTCCTTTGAAATTTTGATAAAATCCTCTTAAAACAGTTTTTCAAGAAAACAGACTTTGCAAATACACTGTTATCATTCTTTTAAACAGGAAAACAGACTTTGCAAATACACTGTTATCATTCTTTCTAGTATTGATGAGAGTTTCCTTGTTAAACCTTAAAACATTTGGAATGTGAGAATCTTGTGTATATCATTCTTTTTCTCTTCTAGTAATATGTGTTATTGTTGTATCCTTAAAAATATATATTTTTTTTTCAAGTTGCCTTTTATATATGTGTCCATTCTGTTTAAAAATGGAACACAGAAAATAAATAAAATGATGTATAACAATGGTGGGGAAAACATTTATCAGAAAATAATGACAAAATATTGTGCACAAAATATCAAATTAACAAAAATCAATAGACAGAGAAATTTTTCTTTTTTGTTATTTCTCTTCCCCCATTGATGTATATATATATATATATATATATATATATATATATATATATATATAGATAGATAGGCTGTATAAAGCTATAAAAAAACAGAAAATTATATTTATTGTATTTAGTTGTCCTTGACCAAACATAAGGATAGAATTTTCAGACTCAAATGTGAAAATAAAAAAAATATGAAGTAGAATATATTATATCTAAATAGTTTTACTTATAATTTATATATATATATTTACAATATATAAAATTTTTCTTAGTCAATATGTGTAAAAATGTGATGAAATAATATTGGAATTTGCAATATATTAATATATATATATATAGTGTATAATTTATAAAGATATTATAAGCAAATATAGGGTATAGTTTTTACTTATATTTTATATATAATATACAAAATAAAATTAATCTTAGTCAAGTACAATGATGAAATACAGAATAGTGCCCAATGATTAACGGTAGAATTTAATGATTAGCCACAAAAATGGTGCAAGTTTCAGCCTCAATTATAGTTTCATATACATCATGTGTGTATGAAAAAATTGTCGTCACACCATTTTTTTTGGTTTTATATATATAAAAACACACTCAATCGCTCTCACACTCTCTCTCTCTCTATATATATATATATATATATATGACTAGAGGAAAACATTTTATGCCAATGCATTTCATTTTTTTGAGGAACTTCATCAGAGGCAAATCTTGAAACTTATGGAGAAAACCTGAATTTATGCACACACATAAAAAGAATTGTTGAGAAAAAAAATATGCATTTGAATTAGAGAACATTCTAAAATATTTGGAAATCTCTTGGCATGAAGGAAAGGCAACTTTTGAGAATGCTATGTGATGTAAATACAGACATGTTCAACACAAGTGAATTAATGTTATTATTTTAAAAGCCTTCAGATAACCATTTCATTTTTTTTTTTAAATTATTATGCTTGAGAAATTTTCTTAAGAATGAAGATATTTGAAAAAAATCCAGTGTATATATTTATTTTTTTAGGTTATTTTCTCTCTTAACAAGGATAGAATTTGTAAGATTAAAATTTTGGTGAAAATGATTTCTCGGAATAAATAATGCATTGACTAAACTATTATATAGATTGTTTTTGTGTTCATAAATAGTTTTTTTTAAATATCTTGACGTTTCACCAATATATATATATATATATATATATATATATATATATATATATATATATAAAAGACACATCATTACATTAAATCAGGAACTGAACATTCATTATTTAAATTGTGTTCTCAGAATCAGAAAGAGACATTGAAATTTTTAGGGCACATGATAAGGAAAGAAGGTTTAGAGAATTTGACACTCACAGGACATTGAAGCCAAGAGAAGCAGAATGAAAATAGTTGACAAAAAAACTGGGGCTGATAGTAAGAAGTTAGATATTGTTTCGAACTTTAAAGGATAGGAAGTTCTGGAGAGCCATGATCATATCCATTCTGAAAGGACATGGCACATAGAAGATGTTTGAATATATTTCCTCCTGTCCATTGGCTGTGCAGGATGCTTGATGATATAAACTTTGCTGCAAGCCAGGAACAGGATTGATATACAAACTGATAGATTATTGATTTGAAAAACAAAAGTCGATAAGAAGCAACTCAATAAACAAGTTCCAAATGTTGAATGCAGAAAAGAAATAGCAGAAAATAATGACTGGATGGAATCCTGAATTGCACTCTCTGATACTTTTGCCAGTTATATAATCCATTTCACCAATGTATACATCTTCCAATATTTTTGGTAATAAAATGGTATCCAAAAGGGAGGTAATTTAGTTTTCTTGTTTGAGTCTTAGAGATGCAATGAATAGAAAATGGAAACCTTCCTGAATTGAATATATCCAAGCTGAGGCCAAATAGAGTTTTGATACAAATGTCCCTTTCATTGGCAAGAAATATTAGCCTGAGGAGTGTATTTACATATTTCTCTCAAGCCAAAACTCTTTTCTTCCCATGGGGCAAGAAAAGGTTAAAATGCTTAATGGATGAGTGATATATAAATGCCTGACTTGCATTTGACGATGTTTGTATAGTCAGGAGATTGTGTTGATGTTAATCTACAGATATTGTTTGTTTATAAATTGCCCTGTTTCATGGACACATTTATTCTTGAGTTGATTGAATGGTATTTATAAATATAAAGACATAATTATGGTAGTGTGAGGGTGTATGCCAGTGGCATGCAGCCAATAAGATTGAAGAATTTGTGTTTTGTCGGATTTTATCAAGGCGGAGTTCAGTATTAAAAGCTTTGAATGTTCACAAAATGTTAATCATTCAACATCTAAATGAAGATGAAGATGCTAATCAATGACATCTTCCAAATGGACAAAAAATTGAAATATGAAGAAAATTGAGGATTTTTAGAATAAATATAAAAACTGGTTATGGTTTGCTTTTTCTTGTTTGATGGTACATCAACCTTTGTAGGTCATTTTAGTGCCAAATACTTTATTTAGTATACTTATGTCTTATAAGATTTTTTTTTATTGTGAGAGATTACTTACAAAAAGAACTAGCAAGGCATTACACTATTTTGCTTTGAATGTCACCATGAACCACAATTGTGAGATAGGGGGTGTGTGATGACCACAGCAGTACAAAATGTGCTAACTGAATAAATAAATAAATTAATGAAGGTGAGAGATGACAATTCTTTTGTTTTATAAAGTTAAGGATGTTATTCAGATTGGTTTATCTGAAAAGCCCGTTCATGTCTCCTAGATTTTTACAGAACTTTACCTGGATATGGTAAAGTCAGCACAGTCCATAAGTATATGCTTGATGGTATGCTGTACATATTGGAGGTTCCATATTTTTAAGGAGAAAAGAATGGGTTATGTGAGTATGGCCAAAGCAAAGTATAGTTAGTACTACCTGTTCTCTTATCTTTTTGAAGATGGCCTACATTGAGGTGTTGGATTTTTTTGAGTTTTATTTTGTGGGCACTTATTTGACTATTCTTGCCATTTTTTTTTTGTAAAAGATTTGCATTTGGTTTCTTTCAAGTCTGTGTGTTGGATTTTAATGTCTGATGTACTGATGTGTAAGGCTTTTCTGGCTCCTAAAATCTGCTTAAAATTATTAAGTTTTCAGAATAAAATGTGAAATCAAACTAATAATGATTTACATTTGAGACCAATGTCCTCATTTTTGTTGTTATTATCATAAGATATAAACCATTTTCTATTTCTGGCCTTAAGGTGTTTTTCAATTCAGTTAACCTTCAAGGGTAGATTGTTCTCATTCTGCTATCTATGTCTCGTGATATATCATCTTATTCTTTTTAGCAATGCTCAATTATTACTCCTCCTATTTTCCCCCCGATTTTAAGTTTGAGCTACCTAGCTCAGGAATTGAACTTATAATTAATAATCTACTAGGCTAATTTGAGTTCAGTTCCTTGGCCAGGTAGAACCGACTCAAATAGTAACTAATCAGTACTAAAGAGAACAAGATCCCTAGATATGAACAGTGGAATGAAAACAGTTTACCCTCAAATATTTCACTATTCATTACATCACTTCCACATCCTTCATTCACTTGAAACCATTTTTCCTCATTGATTTGTTTTTAAATCATTTTACCTGAAGCAAGGGGATAATGTCACTAAGACACAAAGGGCTACTGAGAATGAAAGAAAATGTTAGTGTGTAGAAAGGAAACAGGATTCAGTAAGATAGAAGATGGGTGATTGATTTGGCATTTAAACTTTTGCAGATTGTAGGTGACAGAGAAGCAAGAGAATTCCAAAGGCAAGAACAGGGAGAAAATAAGCTATTAGAATTGAGGCTTATGGCCATATCAGTTGAAATACCACTTCCTGTACAATCACCGAAGTTAAGCAACATTGAGCTTGGTCAGTACCCAGATGGCTGACTGTTTGAGAATATCAGGTGCTGTAAGCATTGGGGTGTGGGAAGTGTAATGCATAACAGCTTAGAATTGGAAATTGGAGAGCCAAGTTCCAGTTTGGTTCGTTATATTCACTTATGTGCAAATACCCTTAGGAAAGGTATAAATCTATATCTTCTCCCCCAGCTATGGCTTAATTGGTAATTACTAAATAAATTCTTACAATCTAAAAATATTTTCTGGCTTTAAATAACCTGAAAAGGTCAAGTCATATAAATGCATAAATATTAGAATAGATCTTAATCATATCTATATCTATTTCAACACTAAAATGACAGCCCTAATTACCAATTCAAGTACATCGCTTAAATACATGCAGTCAAAATACCAAGGGAAAAAAGTTCACTAGAACAATTACATGAAAATATTAATAGGAAAGTTATGGTGGTGGGAATGTGACTGAAGCTGAGATTTCAGGTTAAATGTGTGACCCTTCTTTGGAATTTGTCAAGAATCTCAAGATATATAGCAGGAGGACTAGACCAGATGTATCAGCAATATTCAATCCTCGGATGAAGGTTAGATTTATAAATGTGCAAGATGGATTCTGACTAGAAAATATTGTTTTGGCACAACACCGTGAGCCAACTTTCTTAGGATCAAACCTAGCAATTGATTCAATAGAATTATTTCACTTCATTTCAGTAAAAAACAAGAGCAGTAAAAGAAAAAAATATATATTCACAAGATTTGCTACATATGCAGAGGTATGAACAAAAAGTATTATGGGCAGTAGTCAGAAAGAGATAAGTGTCCATTATTCATCTTTCAGAAAGAGACAAAAAAAAAAACAGATATTGGAAGCTGTGGAAGTAAAACAGGGAAAAATTATTTTCCACTACAACCAGTCGTTCTGTTTTGGTGGTTTAAGTGTAAAAAGGAAGAAGAAAAGAATAGTGACCAATGAAGAATATTTTTTGCTATAATCAGTTGTTCTGTTTCATTAAGAAAGGGAAACATCAAAACTTCTTTGGAAAAGACACTATACATACATAAATGAAGGAAATCTTTAAATTTATTAGGTAATTGTTATGTATTATATTAACATTTTATCAGTTTAAATATACCATAAAATATTATTCACAGAAATATTGTTCTCATATTAGAAGACCTGTGAGTTCCACAACCTAAAACACCTTATTTGAAGAACCAAAGAACTAGTATTTGTAACTAGCTAAGTGCAATGATAAACAACTTTATATTGAAGTGTTTGTTTTGTATTTCAATGCATTTGTGTACAACCTAGTTTCACTAACACCATGTAATAAGTGTAATCTGTCTCCTTATAGATTGGTGACAGGTCACTAGATAAGCAGACAGAGAAAGAGAGAGGTCGCCTGTCCAACAGACAGACTGACAGCTGTAGCGTCTGATTCTAAGTGTAATCCATTAGAAGTAATGACAGCAAGAAGATAATCTGAGAGTACAAACAACCTAAGAAAGTTGTACTTCAGGCCAACAATCATTTACATTAGTTCATGAAATGCACACAACTGTCAATCTGGACTTTGATGATAAGAGTTCCTGATAGTTTTGGTGCAGCAAGCAAAAGAAAATTGGTATTGATTCTCTGTACCTTCTAAAACATGTTTAGAATGTTTACCATAATTCTAGAATTTTCTACATTTCCTCACTTCCACTGGGACAAAGTTTTTATTTCTGTCTTAAAGAAAACTTTGGTAAAGAGCTTTGTTCATAACTTGAAGTAGGTGTCAGACAGAGTAGCAGTAATTGTAATATTAGCTGTTCCCTTATGAGGAAACATCTGGTATTCAATGACTGAGCAGTTTGTACTACTTCTAGTTGAAATTTATAAAATCTTTCTCTTAAAACAATTTTTCAGGAAAATAGGATTTGCAAGTCCAGTAGCCATTATCATTCTTTCCCATAATGATGGGAGTTTCCTTCTTAATTTTTTGTTTGAAGTAGTGAGGAATGCCAACATCTTCATTATGTCATTATTTTCTCTTTGAGATACAGGGGCTGTCCATTTCATTGTTGCTGCTGTTGGTAGTAGTCAAGTGATGTAGTTTCTGTTATTTGGTACAATTCTTTCTTTGTGGACCTGTTGTGCATGTCCACAATGTTCATAGAAGTATGATCTTCAACAGTACCCACAGGATTCATTCTCTCAACACCATTTTTAACCTTTTATCATAGAAACTGGTTATATACAGCCGACATGTTTGTACTTCAGCAAAAAGTGTACGGTTCTAGAAAGTCCAAATATCTTTTGATATATATCAGGTATTATAAAATAGGCTCCTTTTATTTATTCTTTAAGATATTTTCTTTTATTTATAAACTCAACTTTTACTCAATGATTCCAATATCCATCTTAATTATGAACGGTCTCAGAAAAAGGAATAATGAGCATCGGTTATATTGCCACCTTTTTTTTTAATCATTACTGACTTCTATCTATATTTGCCATGCTTGAGTGATCATGTCTCTTTTTGACTCATGACTGACTTTGTAGAAGAATTCTTGCAGGGGTCTGCCATTAATTTCTGTGGTAGACTGGTTACCAACCAACTGATAGGACACAATCAATCCTGTGACTTAAGCCATAGTTGAGAGAGAAGAGATGGATTTGTTGCAAATTTTAATCAACTCACAACAAAGAAAAAGTGAAAAAGGTTTTTTTAAATATAAATATTTTTATTTTCATGTTTTTACATGTTAAAATTTGTTTTTTTTTATTAAGATCAAAAGAAATGTGCATGTATGTTTGAGAAAACAACAGGTGAGGAAGAAAGTGTAAATGTCATTTACTTGTCTTCCTCACCAAACTACATGAGTAAAAGAATCTCTTTGAGGTCTTGCCATGTCATGAATTATTGATGTTCCTTCCTTACTGTTTTTTCTGGTCTGTTGACTTTGTTTATATATTCTTCACAGGGATCACAAGGTATATTTTTATTATTGGCAGGAACATGATCCACTGGTTAAAAAATGTTAAATATTTATTTTCAAAGGATTAATTTACTAATTGGAAGGATGCATGGATCCTCTGACTCAGAAACTATTTTTTTGTCGTTTTATGATTGACTGTCTTGGTGTTTATTCTTATCTTTGCTCCACAGATTGATATCTTTCCCATGAGTATTTACATGTAAGCAAATGCAGCAGACTTGACTGGAATTTAAATTTGGCTCTCTGATTTCTAATTCTGAGTCATTATCCCTTATACCCCAACACATCCAAGCACCTGATATTCCTAATAGGTCATCCATCTAGATATTGGCCAGGCTCAATGTTAGCTAGCTTCAGTGATGGGCTGAGAACCAGTGTTCCAATGTGACATGATCATAAGCTACCCATAATTCCTTTCTTCATACTACCCAAGTCTGTTGGCTAAATAAAATGATTATCACACCAGATATGAGAAGTAATTACAATGTATCTCTCCTTTGCAGCAGGCAGGCATCCTGATTAGTCCTTTGGTAGTTAAAGGAGTGAACCGGCCTGTTCCACTTTCTGGCAAAAAGGTAGAGAGGACTGATGTTGAAGCACTCTTTTCTAGGTGTATATTGAGTTTATACATAGAGAGAAGGTAGGATTGTCCTTCACTTTGGCACAGAGTTTTGATCTCTTGTTTTCCTTCTCCAAGTATCAAAGTTAAATGATTGACCTGTCCTTAACAGTGCCAGTGTTAATGAGGTGATAAATAGATGATACTTTTCTGGGAATTTAAGAAATGTTTTTACTTTATTTTACTTGTTAAACTGTACCTACTGCTTCATACCGTTATTATCAATTAAAAGTTAGCTAATAAAAATTATTAGATCAAATTAATGAAATTATGATATTAGTTGATGACATTATTATTACTATTTTTAATTTCTTATGAAAAATTCAGAGACTGCTTGTGCATGTGTGTCGTTTGCTGCTAAATAGAAGGATGAGTAAATTTTAAGTGATAGGAAAAGAAGTTTAACAATTGTAACCAGAATATTTATAAAGAAATTGAAACTAGGATTTATTAGTCTTTGTCTATGAAAATCTTTTCAGAAACAACAATTTGATCGAGGCTATTAAAACACAGTTACTAGATCTCATCAAATAAGCTCCGCTCATTAAGAAATAATTTTTAGATAAGTTTCACCAACCTGTAATAGGGAAAATGTGTGTTTTTAATGGCAAATAAGTGCTCCTTCCAAATATGTATAAAATTATCTTCATCAACTTTCAGGGACACAAGAGAAATTAAAATACACTTGGATTCATTGTTTCCTGACTATTTAAAGAATAAAAGGAAATATTATGTTTTATTTATTTTATTTCATCTTTTGCAAAATAAAATGAAGATTGACTCTTCCTTTTCATAATTCCCAAAATTTAATTTGATGCTGTTCACAAAGTCAATTATACATAGTCTAATATCTTTTTAAAGATTCTTTGAATTTTCTTTTAAATTTCAGGGTATGATAATGTTAGTGGTTTGGGCTACAATCTCTTGTTCAATTGTCCTATTTTTCAGTGCATGTGTCTATTGCAAGTGTTTCGGAATCATATGTTTTGGAATATGTTTTTCCACTCTTGTTTGAAAATATATTGATTCTATACTTTGTAAAGGATAAACAGAATCATTAGAAATTGTAAAAAAAACTAAATGTCTTAATTGCTTTGTGTATAAATGATTTTTAATAAATGCTCATCCTAAAGGTCCAATTTCCACATATGCACTCCAAGTGCTTATTTGAGGAAAGATGGTATATTCAACTCACACCATCAAATAAACTGATAGAAATATCAAAGAGTAAAATATTTTATCATTTTAGAAACAATGATACTATGTAGAAAAAAAAACTCAAACACCAACTCTAACATCAGCACATAAGCTTCAATTAATTAAGCATAACTTAGCTACTACCAGAGATATAAAGTATTGTTAATTTTTTTTCTCAATAAACCTAAGATAGATGAATATTCGTCTCTGTGATAAATAGTAGGCATTAAAAAAATGAGTAAAATATATAGTTAGAGCT